TATATAACCTATGTTTGTATAATCTAATTTGTGATGTTGTAATTTAATTAACTGTGATATAATTGATTATTAGGGATCGGAAAAAAACCATTTTGACATTGTTAAGATACTTAATTTATTTGACATTCCTACTTACAATGATTTGACCTGCATGATTTAAACCTTTATTTTTAATTTAATATGCTTATTGTAAAAGACTTGCCGAGTGTAACCTAAAAAGAGTTAAATGGCCAATAAATTATTTGATTTTGATTTCTGGATAGAAAAACACATCCTTTTTATAAGTATAATTCCCGCAAATTACTAATGTGCCTGGCCGCCATTTTGATTACGTAACTGTGTTCAAAAATCCGATCAAATAAATAAACACTGGTTGACGAGTACACACAATGAGTAGTTTGTGTAATATCACACTCATTTTAGTTATGTTTTTGTTTGATTCGATTATTAATATTATTTTTTGTTGTTATTTGTTATGGCTGACTAAAATTGTAACTAGAATTATGATTTTCAGTATGAGTAATCATAATTTCACTAAAATAGACATTTTATTATTACTTTTGGTTATGTTTTAAAAATGTTCTTTATATTTTATTACAAAGTAAAAACTTTTTAATTTATTTTTTATTTCCATATACCGAAACATTTACATATAAATTGAGTCTTTTCCAAAAGTTCATGCAATAAATTAACAAATTAAAAGTTATTAAAATAAGCAATATTTCGGGGATTATTCATAAATATTTCTTTTTAATTATATAAATAATTGATTGCTTGATTTTTGTGCCGTATATTCTTCCTATTTTCATATGGCGTCACGCGGGTGTTATTTAGACGGGAGTTTCCAGCATACATTTTGTTCTTTTTCGTTTTGCTTTACAATCGATTTATTAATTATTATGTAACGTATCCAATCATTGTTTACATCTATAATCTTCATTTCCTAGTGTTATCTTTATTACGTGCTTAAATCCATTTTAAAGATAGTTTGCACGAAAATATACCTAATTACCTATATAAAATAATAAGACGTCTGCTCTTAAAGTTTTCTAACGCGTTGGTAACAATTGCTCATTCTATTCTCCGTGAATTAGTTTGCACAAGGAATCACCTTTCCTTGTCTCCATAGTATGGGGATCACGTAAGCCACTTTCATAGCATTCCACTATCTACGTGATTCTTTGTTTGTAAGGTCAATGTTCTGTATCTTGTTCCCGCGTCTCTAATGTTCGCCCTTGACACGATTTTTATCTGTGAAGCATTAAAAATGGAGCGTTTTCTCTCCCTCGTGGTATTTATATAAGTATGCATCCGGTTTTTGGTAGTTTATCTTACATTATAGTCTTTTTTATAATATATAACGATTTAGAGAAAGATCCATGCGATTCAGCAATTTAAAGCCAGCCATAGGATAGTTGGTAAAAATATCTCGAGCTCTTTCGCTGTTCGGTATGCAAATTGAGACGTTGGTCCCAGTTGTGTCTGTAGTACAGTCTCATTCCTTGATTTGATCTCTAAGAAAGACTTATGCCTTTTCTGTGGGGCCATTAATAATGACACTAATGATAAAACAAAGTCGCTTACCGCTGTCCGTACGTTGAGATCTTTTTAACAACACAACGAATTTTAATGCATTTTTAATCAATGTACAGTGAGTTAAGAGGATGATTTATATATTTACAGGACCGCAGCCGCAGCAGAAAACTTATAAATTTTACTTATAGTTCAAAATCAAAGAGACTAAATTTTTATTAAATTTTTTACTCTAATAATAAAGTAAATATTCAAGCAATATACAATCATTTTACGATACATACATAAAAAGTGCTGTTACTTTTTGTGGCATGTTACGTCTTATCCTATTGGCATTGACAATAGCAGAGATTACTTTAAATTAGAAGAAGGCAAAAGAAAACAAATTATAACAAAGACTACGTTCAATAATAAGCAAGTTGTACGGCACATGTTTGCAAAAATTTAAGGGATTTAAAGGATTACAACATGTTCAGTTAAAACTTACAACACATAATTTTTATTTTTGTATTTCGGCAACCAACATAGAGAAATATTTAACTAAGTAAGTTTGCCAATACCTACGACAAAAGTATTATTAAGTCAGATATGTGAAACTGCAAGTGAAATTAAAAATAAAATACCAACATAAAATAAAATACTAATTAAATTATAAACTTGTACATACGCTACTATATGTACTTGAAAACGTGTCTACAATCCAACGCCACGAAAGTTTTCTTTAATAGGCTTTGGCGTACCCAAAATTATTTTTGACTGGTAAAAATAATGTGTGTATCGCAATACTTCAACTAACTAATGATCATCTCGATGACTGATGTCTAAAATTCGGAATGTAATTCTGAAATCGCATTTTAAAGGTACATATTTGTTTTTGTCGGGAAAAATTAAGGATTTGTGTTACAATGTTAGCACTTATAAATATGGCGTATCTAATACCTACCTTAGTTTTAAATACAATTTATTTAGACTTCATTTATATTCTTCATTATCTATTTGTAGAGGTAAGCTTTACTCTCCCTCTTAAATGATCCAAATTGAGAAAAAGTATTGACACTAAATTATCGTGCATGTACTCAAGTCATTAAAATCAACGTACATATAATTGTGACAAATAAACTCATAAAAAAATAGCTCGAGGCGGCAAATTGCTAGGGATCTAAAATGGTGATGCATATCCGCCTATCTCCTAGAATACAATCCAGGTTACGGAGACGACCACTCAGCAGAGACCTTGCTCTAAGCACATACTACTTATAAAATTAGCTCAGCACCATATGCTGTTCAGGTCTTTATAAAACAGTTTACGTTTGCGTGCCTTTAGTTCTATGTTAAATACCGTGTCTCGGTTTTGTAGAAATTGTAACATATGAAAATTATACTAGTCTAATCAAATTGACTTCTACCATACTGGTCCTATTTTACTTAAAACGAGGACTAAAGTTATTCTATTCATCAGCAGTCTATTAATGCCTTTCCCTATGGATGGAATTGAATCAAATCGAATATGGGAGTGAGCCATGACCCACCATTTGGCCTAGTACGGATTGGTGTGAGTTAACGACAGTAGATGAAGTAGGGACCAACGGCTTAATGTGCCTTTCGAAGCGCAGAGGAATACGAGGTAGTCAATTTTTGGTCACCAATCCAATGACTGACCATTGCAAAGTTTGCTTAAGAACCGTATCGTAGATCGAGCGTGGTATCCACTGCGCTATCGAGCTTCACCACTTATATTCTTAGTTTGTCGTCAAATTTTAGTAATTAATTTAAACCATTAGTCGCCTAAAACAAACTGACAACTACAGAATAGAAAACTTGAGTTTGAGACGTGTTAACTTATTTTGGTCGGATAATATTAAAACCAGAACAGTAACCACCTAACTCCCTCGATATAATGGGGATGACGACTGGGTAAAAAAATAGAAATTCTAGTTAGTCCGTTGGTCAGTTAATAGAAAAATATTAGATACGTATTTTTTTTATTGCAATTTAACAAGAAATAGCTTATATAACAGACGTTAATGTCGAGGAGTGGGGGCACAAGTCACAGTTTTGTGGAAAATGTGCCAAAGCGTGACGTCATGTAACATTTTAATTCAAGCATCATCATCATCATCAGCCCTTTTTACGTCCCCACTGCAGGGGCTCAGGCCTTCCTTATGGATGGTTTAAGAGGATGGGCAACGACCCTCCACGCTGGCCTTATGCGGATTGGAGGGTATTGACGACTGCAAATGCAGACCGCCGCCCGGACCAACGGCTTAACGTGCCTTCCGAAGCACGAAGTAGCTCGAGATAATAATTTTTGGTCACCCATCCCGTGACCGACTCTTGCGAAAGTTGCTTAACAACAACGATCGCGGGCCGCGGCGCTTATCCACTACGATTAACTCAATGTATCGCCGTAATTTAATGATTACCCAAAAAATAAAAAATATACTTGTTTAAAATTCTTCACAGCAAACCAACAAAAAATAATCGACATCCCTATTACTTAAGCATATATTATTATATAACAGAAGAAAATTATAATGCAGTACTGTTAATAACTAATAATAATAATATTCTATAAAATTTATTACTTCCTTCCCTTTTCTTTTCACTTATTAGCTTTCCGTAGGTAAAAGAATTTTAAAAATCGATCCCTTAGTTACGTAATCTATTCGTTGCAAATAAACAAATAATCAAATCATTCCTTTTTATAATATTAGTATAATCATCTTTAAAATACCGAAATTTTAATATAGAGATTAGTTAATGAGCACCGTCACAAATTAATTGTGCCTTCGTAGAGATTCACTGAGGAAGTGAGGGGAATTAACTTACATTTTTTCGTCTAATAGAAATCGGGAGTATGGCGTGAGATTCTTTTCAAAATTTTAATTAACCATGTCAATGGGCCATTGGAACTCGTGCCTACGTAACTAAATTAAGTACTGATTATACGAAACAAGTACGTATGAATTGAGATCTGGTTTTAGCCGATAGATGGATTAAACGAACATTCTTTAATTAATTTTCTTATATTACAAGGCTACAATCTACGTACAGTTAATAAATACAGGAATGGTTAGTAAATATATAAATACAAAAATTACAAATACAGGTCACAATGTATAGCACCTCTTTTAAATAGAGACCTAGCAAAAAAAAAATGTAATTGAACTATATTTGATTTTTTAAAATAGTTCAAGGAATTCTAAGCATTGTCTGTTTAAAATTTTAAATATTGATTCCATATTCATGTTCTAAAATGTATATTATTTAATGATTTAAATGCAATATTTCTCTATCAATTACTAGCACGGTAAATAGTAAGTAGATAAGAAAAAACTATCAATAATCACCGTTTAAACAAGGAAGGCGAACGTTAAAAACTACCATGAATTAAGTAAGAAATGAGTCATAGGCGATAATGGTATGCTGGGTCCGTCCGGGACATTAACAAATGTCCCATACTAAATGATAACAATTCCCTTTTGTTAGTTGGACATTTACTGTCGTATAAATAAAACGTGTTACACCAAATATTATATTTAGAATTTCATACAAAATGGTTACTAGAAGTTTTGCGTTTTCTTTGGTGTTCTTCGTGGTGTTTGTGGATGTGGTTTTTGGTAAATATGTGGATAAAAGAAAATGTCCTGAAGTACGAGCGGTGCCACATTTTGATTTGCCTCAGGTTAGTTTTCATGAATAGGAATGGTAACTATTTTTTTCCGTCTGACCATGAATTGTTGAAGAATATTAAACACGTAATTTCTCATTTTTTGCGATACCAATAAAATACGGCGATATATTGAAACTGAAATGACGTCACATTTTGTACTATGACGTAACGACCCCACATGCCTATTATTTAAGCCATTTCTTGTCGAACTGAAGCAAAAACAAAGGTATCTAATATTTTTGTGTTATCTGACTAACTGTCTAAATAGATTTCTTTTTTCACCCAGGCACCCTTTTGTCAGCTATATTTTTTTTATCTAAGATGGAGGGTAGGATAAAACGCAAAAAAATATATCGGTGTGCCCATACCAAGATATGGGAGGTTATTCGTAAGGATAAAGAGTTACTTTCTACGTAAAAACGATAATGATATTAGAACTATTTATAATTATGTTCCATTTTCTTGAAATGTCCGAAATTAGGCGGTGGCTGATACTAAGAGACTCCACCTTACTTACTGCTTTAAGTGTTATTCAATAACGCGAATTTCAGTAATCACAGCTTTTAATGATAAAATCTTAATCTCTTAGTCATGCTATCATTTAATACTTACAGACCTGTCACGCCATAAAACTTTAATAAAATAATACCTCAATTACCTTTTGAAGTAGATTTTATTTGAATGAAGCTCTATGCTATGTATGACAGCACTGTGGTCGACGTCGAGATATATATATTGAGCATGTAAATAACATATATAAAAGATTATAGTTAAATAAAAAAGTTTTTACATGATTATTATACATGGAAAAAGTAATAATTCAAAATATTGTCGGTCTGCATTGACCATAAATTACCTACCTATAGTGATGTACACGGACGTTACATTACCTACGTTTAATAATAATAATATACTTTATTACATACACACTACAAAGGACTATAGTTACTGATTATACGGTACGTGAGAAACAGTTAAAAATTACTACATAGCAATATCTTCTAGGCAAATAATTATGATTATAGGTAACTTAATGCTTTGTTACCCTTATGCTATATGTAAATGTTTAGTTCTTAATTTTATATAGACGCAGGAGGCACCCTGGAAACATACTATTATATGTTCAGTACCTATAATTTTAGAAATATAAATACCTATGTAATCATATTAATAAAAATATAACGATTGTTATAATTCTGGATGCAACATTATAACATGTAGGCGCCGGACGTTTGATAAATGATAAAGTAGCACAACAGAATAACAACCAACCTTATGATATTTATATAATAAAATTAACTACGTACTTTCATAACTAGTACCTAATGATTATTATTAAAAAGTAATACATTAATTAATTACATTCATTAAATCAATTTTCAATTTATAGATTTTTTTTTTCATTTAAATAGAACTTGTTATTAGTTTAGATAATAAAAATATCTGAAATGGACTGTTGTTATTATATATACTAATATTATAAAGATAAATGATAGACAACTGAACCGATTTTAAAATTTCTTTCATCTACCGGAAGGTACGGGAAAAGCAAATTTTATGAGTGAGTGAGTTATATATATTATATATGATGATGGTATTATTATAGCAATCAGCAGTTTATATTATAATATTCTGTAATAAAATCAGGAGAGCGATTCTCTGAAAATTCTGACCCCGAATGCGAATTCACTTATATGTCAGAATTCACTTCATTTAGTGTAGAAATTCTATCGGTTCCATTTTTTGTATAAAAATACAAAACAATACTGACTGATTCATACGTGTCTCAAATATTCTATTTTTATATCATTTTGAAACTCACTTCAATTATGTCACGAAATGTTATAACCAATTCTAGGGTGACCGGATGCCGCTTTTCGAGTGAATTCGAATTCGGGTTCGGATTTTTACAGAATCGCAGGGCAGTTTCGAACTCGATGTCTAACAAAGTGTTGTCTTACTACACGTGTTTATTTAAATAAAACCTACTTTAAAAGGTATAGAAAAAAAAAACATTGCAGCTCTGCGCTGTTACTAGAGTTGCTAAAATACTATAATATTTAGAATGGTAATACTATAATATTATATTTCTAGTCTGCCTATTATTGCAAAACTTACCCATAGAACGAAAAACTACTATACATATTTCCCACAGCAAATAAATTTTAAATAATGTAGTTGTTCTACATGAAACATTGAGTATAGAAACGGACCTTTATTTTTAAATAATAATTTTATGAAATATTTGAGAACGATTAAATTAAACTTCTAAATAGTTTAAATGTGCGGTGTCTCAATCAGGTCAAACTGGCTAAACGGCTTTCGATTATATTTGGAGCAGAGATAGAATCTACTATTTTTATCCCGGAAATTTATCTTACAGTTTCCGTGGGTCATTCCGGCGGAAGGCTTGTACTATATATTTTTTGAGTGACTATATTACCTACTATATTTATAGGTTATTTTAAAAAGGTCTACTAGACGTTGGCTAGGATTGGATGTCATGGGTCCGGGCCCTCCTTGCTGGATACCGTACTCATCCATTCGCGTGAGGTGAACCGCAGCGGGTTTTACCAGGTAGGGCCTTCACTTACTGCCCTTCTCAGGGCGGCCTGCCCTTTTCAGGGCGGGGGTGGAGGAGGACTCAAGACTTAAGGTGCATTTCCCCTGCGTTATAAAAAAAAAAAGGATTGGATGTCACAGTTATAAACATTGAGATCTAGAATGTATTTATTACAGAATAGCCCTGCTGATTCTAGTAGAGAAACGCTTCGACATTTATAATAACTTTCCTCTGACCGCAAGCAAGAAAAACTATTATAATCATAATTATAATTCGTATTCAACGAAAGCTAAAGGATCTACTTAAATGTCGTTTTCACATATCAAGTTACAACGGACATCTGTATACTGTAATTTGCATACATTACACAATAATACAATTGTTATTAAACTTAGAAAGTAAGTGTCCAGCTTCTAATAAGTTTTATGCGATTATGTTTTACTTTTCACTTTCTATTTAGCCAGAAGAGTGCTGTCACAGAACTAAAGTACACTGCGTGGGCGGCTTAACTAATATGATTTACATAAATTTCCTTTTACAATCAGAAATCACGCAAAGTCGAATAAAAGGCGATTGGTTTCTTTTATCTTACAACATTATATTCGTTATAATAGATACAATTATGATGAAATATTGACGTTCTACAGAGACTTATTACTTTAAGACGTCTAGTAAATATAAGGACACATACTTAAATTACATTGCACAGATCCAAAATCAGGTACATAATTAAGTACTTTTATTATGAAAATCTGACATGACGAAGTTTGCACAACGAATATGGGAGTGAGCCATGACCCACCATTCGGCTCAGTACGGATTGCTGTGAGTTAACGACAGTAGATGAAGTAGGGACCAACAGCTTAATGTGCCTTTCGAAGCACGGAGAATCTCGAGATAAGAAATTTTTGTTCTCCCATCCTATGACTGGCCTTTGCGAACGTAGCTTAACTTCCGTACCGTTGATCGAATTCGTCATACCACTGTACAATCTAAAAGTCTGCTGATTTTATATAAATTATTTATAGTCATTGACAGGAAAAAATCTTGGGACCTAATATTTGAAACTTTTATTTTAAATGTATAACCACCACCATCAGCCCTTTTACGTCCCTACTGCAGGGGCTCAGGCCTTCCTTATGGATGGTTAAGGAGGATGGGCCATAACCCTCCACGCTGGCCCAATGCGGATTGGAGGGTATTAACGACTGCAAATGCAGCTGAGACCAACGGCTTAACGTGCCTTCCGAAGCACGGAGTAGCTCGAGATAATAATTTTTTGGTCACCCATCCCGTGACCGACCCTTGCGAAAGCTGCTTACCGACAACGAATGCGGGCCGCGGCGCTTATCCATTGCGCCACCGAGCTACTCATATATAACCACAGAACAAAAAAAAAGAGATCTTACCTACACTTTTTTAATAATTTAAATTGATTGATTTTGGAAAGCCATGTTATAAGGTAAAGATTTACAAGGAAAATATGTAAAGGTGGAAAGAAATCACAAAGGAGTGTAATTAAAGGCTACTAAATTTTTATTTATTCCCTTTCTCTATGAAACTGTTCCTCTGTGACCATTTTAATGATTAAATCACATATATAAAAAGATTCATAATACTGTTTTTCTTTAGTTTTATGATTAAATCATTTACTAAATTAAGCTTTAAGCTCGTTGTTACTTTATACTATTTATCGACGCCTTGAAATTTAGTTACTGCAATGTTATAATCAATAAAATACACCGCATTAAAACCTCCAGGATATGAAAACAGATATTTCATCAGAGATAAAAACCAGCCTTCATAATTGAATATGAATAAGTAAACGAATATGGAATATGATCTTTGATATGGAATATTTAAATACTATACTCAATTATTCCCAATAGGGGCAAGATTTGTCAAATAATCTGCAAAAAATCGCTATTGGTTTACTCCGATGGCTTGGTTTATATGGCTATATGATGATGGCTTGTATTAAAACTTCTTTAAATAATAATGAAGACCCTGATAGATAATGAAGACACTGATATTTAATTTGTGCATTACATAAGTATTGTGATGAGCACCCCATAATTTATAATAGATATGTTTCTTGCATTTGTCAATTTATCAGTTTGAATAAAAGCTACTAAAAATCAAATCTCAAATAAATTATCAAAAAAACAAATATCAAGAGCTCTCCTAACTCTTCCTTAAACTGACGAAAAACAATGTTTCCACTGACATTTCAGATGCTCGGTGATTGGTACGTAGTTGAATACTACGCCAGTGCAGAAGAAGCACTCTCATACAGTTGTATGAGGGCAGTGTTTACGCAAGACGATCATATAGCAGCTGCAGGTAATTACTGATATTTTACCAACCTAATTTGCGATAAATCTACCAATAACATACAAATTCTGTGGCTACACATTAATGTAATGATGAAAGATTATTCCCGGTGCTCCGATCGGTAGATGCAGCAGAAATTTTTACTTCACTTGTCCAAATTATTTTAGTACAAATAAATAAATTCAATTAAACTGATTGCACTTTTGGTTAAATAAAGTAAGTGATAAATCAAAATGCATTCCATCGGAGGTACGGGAAAAAATATTCCAGCTCTTCCTACCAAAGCTCTATGTTATAAGATTGGGAAAAAATATTGGTAAGAGACCAATCGGAGTATCATTCGGAGTACTGGGAATAACTCGATGAAATAACATATCTATGGTTCCAGATGGCACAGTAGAATGGACACCAGGTGTGACAATGAACTTCACATATCGATTTGCCGATGATCCTCTCGGAGAAAATCTCCTTGGAAATATTACATGGAAGGTGGATTTAAACGAACCTGCACATTGGACTCACTCGGAAATCACTTGTAAGTAAAAATAAATACAATTAGTTTTGGGCTTATATTCCACAATCTATAAGTAATATAAGTTACAAAAGATGAACAAAACAATGAATAACTTTCTGAGCATTTACTAGAGGTGATGAAAGAAGCTCTAGAGATCTGTATATCAAAAGCAAAAGAAATGTTTATTTGGATCGATAGAAAATATAATCTTTGAGCAGATAACTGGCGATTTGGAGACGCACTATTACTTCAATTCATCGTCTGTATTAAGATCAATATTTAAAATTCGATTGTTATATTTCCTTGTCAGATCACGTATAAGCTTTTGATGAATTATGTACGGCGCCAATTTTAAAATATAATAAAGGTTGGATTTCATTAAACCTCCATGCTGTAACAGCGGTGTGTGTGCTCGACATCGAGTTATGCTAATTTTATTTTATTATTAATTATCAAATTGATTGTTAAATGAACAATTCTATTAAAAGCAGGCAACAATAATAGTACATTGTAAGGGTACCGCGTTTTAATGTGTATGTTAATATACACATGCGTTGGAATCTGGATATTTTGTTTACTTATTTTCGAGTTATCTCGGTTTGTTAAATCCTTAAAATTTTAACAGTTAAATTATAATTCCAGATGATGGTATATACAACACTTATGTGCTGGACACAGAGTATAAAACATGGGCTTTGCTTCTACATTGTGCTGAACAGAGAGAAGGAACAAGATGGCTCAGTGCATTCATACTCTCGAGGACTACCAAGCTACCTAAAAATGTTATGGCCTACCTGAGGGACAAGCTGCCGAGGTAAATAGTCTCTTTAAATATTTAATTGGTTTAAAGCTGTCTGACAACAACAAATTGTTCCAAATAAAATTCGGTATTATATTGCCAATAATCGCCCAGTAAAATACAATACTACGAGTAAAAATAAGAAGTTAGTAATATTTTTGTTTAAATCAAACATCATGAGTTATGTTTCAAGCTATGAAATTCACATCGAATTTAAAAAATAATCCAGCTTAATATTAAGAAGTCCTTTTAGTATTTAACTTTTTGGAACACACAATAATTGCATTACGCGTATCGTTCCAGCCTCATTGAAAGTTAGGTCACTCATCGGCAGCGGCAAATAGCCAAAATTCTAGGCTCTCTAGCTAAATGATCAGTATAAGTTATTTTTTTGTGCCTCAATAAATATCCATGCAACATAATTCTAATAAGATATGTACAGTGTAAACTCTTTATAACGATAAGCTCCCTATAAAGTAGAAATTAATTCAACTTGGTTGGTTTGCGTGAAAACCTACATATTGACACACTTTTATTTTATTTTTTATTTTGATTTACCAACATTTAATACATTATTACACACAATAAAAACTTGATTTAGCACACAAGAAGAAATGTATCAAACAATTACAAGTGAATACCACATTTAACAAAAATATATAACATTGGGGCTCCATCAACAGATTTATTTACTGAATCTCCAACTCTCAAATACTACTTTTTATAGCGATATAGCCATGCTCTATTACGAAAAAATGTGTTTATTTTTCGAGTAAATATTTATTATCGGTATTATTGTATATGTTATCTTCTTAGGTAACGATAAACTTTGAAGCTCCGAAACATCTGAGGTCCTAAACGGTAGTGATGGTCTGATCAACTTTGAAACTGTTAACATGGCCAGTAAAAGAAAAGCGATTTGTGTCCCTTTGGTTTAATTTTTTCATTCCATATAACGATAATTCTGTTTATCGATAAAAATGCTCAGTACCTTGAATTTCGTTATAAAGAGTTTACACTGTATTACTATCCATATTATTACTTTTAAACGAGCAATTCAATATCTGAATCTCGGAAACCGCTCCAACGATTTTCATGGAAAAGAATGCAGGGGGTTCAGAAGGCAATAAATCGGTGTAGACAAGATTTATCTACAAAAAAAAATATCTAGCAAAGCTCATCCAGGTACTATTGTAAATGCGTAAACACGTGAAAATGATTAAGTCTATATTTTATTATTGTGCAGCTCTATGGTACAGCCACGTTTCACAGACGAGGAAAATTAAAGTTGATAGGAAGACAATTTGAGGTCTGGGTCTGGGGAAGCAGAATTGGTAAATATCTTATAGTTTGACCATGAAATATAGTCAGATCATCTATAACATAAAAATTTATTCATAAAATCGTAGATAAAAGATATCATCTATATAAATTAAGATTTCAGATTCAAATTATTGTCTTTTTTTTCCTATATTTAACAGGTTTGAGTAAAGATAGGTCATGCCTTGTGATTAATGGTGACACGTCCTAGCAAAATTCAGTTAAAAGTTCAACAAAAGAATGTCATTATTAGAGCTAAGGGTGTCCATACAATTTAGTATCTCCCTATTTTGTAACGTTTATTAATGGTACTGCTAGGCACTATATTAGGGACATTATTTTTTTAAATACAGTTAATTGTCGCACACTTCTAATCTATACATATATAAAAGATTTCTTGACATACTGACTGACAGACAACGCACAGTCTAACCCGCTGGTCGTACACTTGAAATTTTGAGGGATGTTCTAAGAACTGATTTTTGGAAAATCCACCCCGAAGGAGGTCAAAACTTCTTTGTTTTTGGACTTACGTCGATGAAATTTTATAGGAAGGTAATAGGTTTATATTTTATTCCGAAAACTAGCGCTTTAAGAGATAAAAATGGGAGTGGAAGTTTCAGTTGGGAAAAGAGCGCCATGTCTCAGTTGGGAAAAGTATGGGCTGATAGAAGCATCTCTCGAAAAACAAAGAAAAGACTCGTCAATACCCGTGATTTCTCCATTTTTTGTATGGGGCTGATACTTGAACCCTCAAAAAAGTCGACCGTCTACGTATTGATGCATTTGAGATGTGGAGTTGGAGAAAGAAGCTTGAAATTCACTGGGCAGAGCATAGGACCAACGAATCTGTTCTAGCCGAAGTAAAGATAAAAATGAGATTGTCCACCACTTGTTTACAAAGAAGTTTCAAATTCTTTGGATACATCGCTAGAAAAGGAGGCGATAATCGATAGTTGGCATAGAATTTTGATCTCGATATCTTCCACGACAGTTTTCGACACTATAAGGACAAAATACTGCATACACATCGTCCTACTATTTACCCTTAAAGTAAAGAATTCATGTTTTATTTTAATTCATTGATAAAACATATAAACTGATTATTTTTGACATTTGATATATAATAATTGACTTTTGAATATAATTTGTTATTTGTTGATTTTGTAATGTGTATCACTGTTGTATTTTTGTAGAATAATATATTAATTGACGCCTATGTCATGTAACTGTAGTTTATTATTATGTAATTATAATTGTATTGTAACTAAATAAATATTGTAATGTAAACGCATATGGAATATCTTGTTACAAATGCTGTGCATGTCTGTAACTGTCATAAATGCTAGATAAGTGTAATTTAAAAGGTTTACTGAATTATTTTTGTATTTGTGATGTTGACGTGCCTTGAGTAAATAAATAAATAAATAATCTCGAAAAAACTTTATTGACGGGAAGAATAGATGGACAAAGTCCTCTACATTGACCACGACCATCTACCACGAGGAAGAAGTCCTATACATTGGTCAGATCAGACCCGCGCTACGAGTAACACCACAGTCAGTGAGACCATCCATATCGCCGAAGATAGGGCTAGATGGCGAACAATAGTCCACGAGAGAGTAATTCAACGAGGTCAAGACCCTCAGTATTGAGGATGAACGACGCAAGGAGGAGGATATTGATGAGTAGCTCGGTGGCGAAGTAGATAAGCGATAGTTATTGTTAAGTAACTTTCGCAAGGTCACGGGATGGGTAACCAAAAAATTATTACACAAAGCTACTCCGTGACTCGGAAAGCACGTTGAGACGTTGGCTCCGGCTGCATTTGCAGTCGTTAATAATGCTCTCCAATCCGCATTGGAGGGCCATGGCCCATCCTGCTTAACCAATCCATAAGGAAGGCCGGAGCCCTTTCATTTGTTAAACCCGGACGAGAAACAAAAAGTTTGACTCCTTTATTTGTGTGTGCGGTTTTTGTTTACTAAACTGCGGAATCATTTTGTTCAGAAAAGTTTGTGTAAATTTTAGTTTTCGATTAAGTTTTGTATGGATAGTTGTTTCATTAGAGATTACGCGTAGTGGAAAAAATTTGCTTAACGTAAAGAAATAAATATATAATAAATATTAATCACACTAAAAAACCTAGAGTCCATATATGGCACTGGTTCCGTAGCTTATAAACGGCCCTTTGGCTTCTCTCTCGGTAGCAATTCACAAACCAGGTGTATAATAGTTCACCCTTTTGTATATATTAACGAATGAACATAAATAAATATATTAATTATTTACAGCACCGAAATTCACTAAATTATTGGTAAAAGTACCTAATATGACCACAAATATTTTTTACTTAACTACCCTACGCGCAATTAATAAAGATTGTAATCAATCTACCTACCGCTAAACTTGTACAGAACATTACACAGAGCAGAGAACAATTTTATATAGACCAATATTAGATTTGTGTTTTTCTTTCCATCTGTATTTCAAATCGGATAAATCAAATCGGATTTCAATCGGATCGAACAAATTACATATAACTTTTTTTTGTAGTGTCTTCGAAGTTGCATATCAAAATAATTTTGATGGAATATATTTTACTATTAATAAAAAAAAAAATGATAAAATCAATAATTGTGTTTCGTATCGTGATTCTTGGCAGTTAACCTGTTCCCTGGGCTTTGTAAAGCCGTATTGTAGAAGGACGAGGACTTTAGCTGTGCAAATTAATGGCACTATTCTATTAAACGGCTAGCCGGCTAATTGGAACGATCTTTTATGGGTAATTTATAAAGAAAAAAAAAATCATTTTCGCCCAAAATAACTATAACACGTTTTAAATATTCGTTTAGATAAAGTTGCGGGCAAATCTAGTTTCATTATAAAATCCAGGCAAAACTAATTCTGACCCGAACCTGAGAACATCATTAGTACAAGTATATAAATGAGTATATATAAATAAGGCAAATTGAGACACCAAAATATTTATTAATATAAAAAAACAAACTTTCTATAAGTAAATTATTTTATATAATATCTTATTAAAATATGTCGTTGTCTAAATGTAAATATGAAATAAATTATTTTATTACATATGATTAAGATTAAGAATTGTTACTTTTTGCAGGTACGACGTAGATGTGAAATATGTTTTCCCCATTTCACATGGCGACTGCTCTTCCAAACCCGCCAAAGCTGACTTCAGTCCTATATTTGTAGAAGTTGGTAGCAAAGTCCCAAGGAAACCAGGAATTTCTTATAACGTTGGTTTAGGATATTAGGACAAATAAAAATTATAATATAGCGATATTTTATATCAAACTGTAAATTGACAAGGCAAAACTGATGTACAAAATCTTCGCTGTCTTAATTCCTACATAATAGAAAAATTACTCTTTCTACTTTACATTTAAAATTTACTTGTAATATTTTGTCGTTTGTTGATTTAATAAAAAATACACTTTTGAAATACAGCCATTGGTTTTATTATTTCATGGAATTTGCAAAGATATAGGTACGGCGAATACACGGACAAAAAACAAATACTTATTTTAAATACTATTTTAACAATGTACCTCTATTGACTAGAAAAGTTATTAAAATGATTGAATGTGTAAAGACGCATTTTTCTAACTCACTATTTACTATTTTTTAAGCAGTTTTCATTAAGAAAATTTTTGGTGTAACATTATGAATATGAAATTGTTTAAATATAATAATTAGAACAAATTCTCATCTTTATCGAAAGTTTAATTATTTGTAAAAATATTTTCTTTCGGCTGTTTGGGTGGATGCCTGGACATTGATGAGAATACGCTCTGTAGTAGTGAAAAAGTAACAAGTGCTTGAAGGATTCGTCAGTCCTGTTAGGTCCTAGGTAGCTCAGTTAGAGCAGCCGCCCGGATTGGGAAAGGTCATGGGTTCGAATACCAACTCGGGAGCCAGGTGGATTATTTAAAATGAAACCATTAAGAACATTTTTCTGTATGGCATTGTGAAAGCGAAATCGATCAAATATAATAATAATTATTCATTATTAAATAAATTAATTCCTACTGATGATAATAAAATTAAGATGTATAGATAATTAATGACAAACGGTATGACTATGATGGACGATGTAAAGGGGGAAATGAAAACCCTGATCGTTTTTCGGAAGTGATTAAATCTTGCTAATGCGTGCGAAACGCTTCGCGATGACACAGTTCATTTAACATTAAAATATCAAATGTTAAATGTAAGGCACATGCAAGCTAGATAGGGCACGAACATTGTTCCACGGCGTCGTAATTAGTATTCTACGAAGGCTCCGTCCGTCGTCAGCACAATAAGTAAACACACACAGACATCTTTTTGACATTCAAACTTGACCGTGCCTAAACAGACCAACAATAAACGGACTCATGTAGAACATTGCGATTTCCACATTTATTCGTTTGAAGGCGATAATTTTCCAAAGATCAATACATAGAAGAATGGTACACTAGTAAATGGTTACACTAAGCACAAAATACATGGATTGGGAATAAGTGCGTATCCGACAATATTGCTGCTTTGCAAAAAGAACAACCCTATTACAATTTGTGAATAAGTTTAAGATAGTAGGACGTTTTTTAATAATACAGTATAACTTTCTAACAGTTTTGGACAGTGTCATTATTTTTAAAAAGCTGTAATGTAAAAATTAGATAAGCACTTTTATGGAGATACAACTATACTTGCACATAAATAAGTACGAAATTTCGCCATTTTCTTAGGATATTGAGGAGGATTAGGAATTAATTTACGTTTTAAATAAGGACTAATAAACATTATTCATAGCTAGTGAGAATGAGGACTGTAAGCTTAAACTGATGAATATATGATATGTAATATAATAACAAAAAACATATGAACAAACAATGACAATAATAACAAAGACCAATGAAAAAACCAAATGAAATCTGCAAGGATGGTACTTTCCAACTAATCTCCAACAATTATAATTCTTGTGATATATTTATTGATTTAAATAATATATATGTAAATATAATAATATTATTTACTGGTACTGTAAATTTAAGTAGATTTGCTTTTAACTCATTTTTTTTTCAGAAGAGACGACGTAAAGTTTAAATATTTGAATCAATAAAGAATATATATAACCTGATTCATGTCAAAACAGTCAATATTAAAATGCCAATTAATCAGGCAAAACACCAAACCACCACTGTATAACAAACGTTTTATTCTTTGTCCTAAGCTACGTAATTCATCGTCTTGCGTAAAAACAGTGTTATAAGTAATGAAAAGTTTGACTAACTTGTTTTCATGACACCTGAAGCATAATGGCAAATGTGCGTGTGTGCTTGTGGCTTTTTGTGTTGTTTGTTAGCTATCGACTTGTTAATGCTGAGGTAAGAAATATATTATTTGTAGAAGCAAGATTTATACTGTTTTAATTAAAGTTTTCTTTTTTTTAAGTTAATTTTTCTAATTTAACTACATTTACTAACACATATTTTATTTAGGTCATCTCTTGATAAACTATTGTTATTATCATTTTGATATCACGACAACGTAACAAAAACTGCTATTTTTTATTTTTGTGAATGAACTAAGAACCTTGTAAAGGTCTGTTTGATTTTTAGTTTATTATTATCTATATTATTTCATCAGTCTGTTTTTATAGTGAGGATATTAAAGGACATCGTCAAAATTTTCATATGCAATGATTTTGTTTACACGAAAGTGGACATAACCCAATATAATGTATAGTTAATATAACTATATCAATATCTCCAGAAGTAGGTCTTAATTCAATAATAAATTTTTAATGATACATATTTTTATGATTATCAAAATCCCATCATCAGACTTCGTAACTGGCTGCGGAAACACCTATTAATATGCATGCTAATTTACAAATTATTATCTACTTTAATATTATCGGTAAGTAACATTTTTGTAAAATGAACATCATTATATCGATTGCGTGATTAAAAATGGGATAGTTAATAAATTAGTTTCAATTAGTACTTTTTTCACTGACCATATATTTTTCTCGATTCATATCAATTTTAGTATTTCTCTACTGTTATGTTTCTACTGGTACTGTTTTGTTTCTTAAAATATATACTTAATTCATATTATACAGAGAATAAGCGAACCCACCACCTTTTCGGAGTAAATATTACTCCTGTGGAAATAATAAGTAATACAATTTTTTTACTAATAATAAGTGCAGCGTAAATTTACTCCAAAGCTAAGCCTTGTTTATTAATAACACCGATACTGTATTTGTCTTCTAATGAATTCCTTTTAAGGGATTCCTTTGATGTTATTTTATTCCAACCTCGTCAGTTGAGAGTCACACCTGGCGTTAAGTTTATGGTCACACATTTTTATTTTTATTTTTGCGTTCAGTTCTATCGTCTCCATTATTTATCATAATTAGCGTTACAATATGATTTGCTCATTATTATTGGATTTTCTTCGATACTATTATTATTCATAGGGATTAATTTATTGGTCATCGTTAATTTACTCATTAATATCTAAGCATTAATTATATATTTTTATAGAACCCAGTGTTGAGAAGGGTTTTCATTTATAACTGATTACTTATGGTGGTAAATAAATATCTTGTCTGTGTATTATCTCTATTCCTTTTTTGTAAACATAATCTGTTTAGTGTTTCTAAAACTGATAAAATAGGTATAAGATTATCCCTTTCTATAGAACGGATTCTATCCTTAATTATTATAAAAGTCCGTTATTCATTACCAATGAACAAACTTATTCAAAGAAAAGGTTTTGGTGTATATGTTATAAAATATTTGTATAAAATCTAAATTATGATGAGTGAGGAAACATCACCAATAGATATCATCGACTAGTATAACTGAGCCATAAGTGGCGAAGGGTCGGATGACGGGTTGCTTGCAAAATATAATTAGGTAATACAGTAACGTAATGGAAGATTTAACTTTAACTTATTAAACCAAGCTTTATTATCTCTAAATTGATTCTTCTAGTCTGCATACGAATCTGCATGGTGCAGTTTCTTTTGTGGCGACGATGATGACGACTCCGGCGATGACGATTATTACGATATATTCGATATATTTGGAGTGTGCGACGGTTGCTCTTCTTCATCCTCGAGCAGCACTACTTCTACCAAACCAGGAGCTCAACAGCCTGTCAACATAATGTTACGTAAGTGTTATGATAATAAATAATTATCTGTCTATGTCTTCACACCGAACTCTATAGAGGGATGACAACTGAGCCAGAAAAAATATTATAATAAACCTCATCACTTCGCTCCCATAATCAAAATGAATACATCATAGATCTGGGTTTCAACAATATTTATTTCTGTGTCATCAGTAATATATTTTCAGTGTGATTTATTTACTAATGCCATGGAATATATTGCCTACCAACATTCAACAGCAGATATATATTTGGTGCCGGAGGGTGGGGCACATAGTCTTGTTTATGGTCACATAAATAAAATTTAATAAGGGCAGATATAGATTTGGCGCCGGAGGGTAGGGCACATAGTCGTGTTTATGGTCACAAAAATTATAATTTAATTTTAAATATATAAAAACATTGTGTTTAAAATTTGTCAGGTCTCAGGGGGATGTTATGGCCCCTCAAATCTCCACTTGGATAGCCCTTGCTTACATTTAAAAAAAAAATGTGTAAATTGTCTGTTCAAAAGAACGGATAAATTTATGCATTAGTGATAAAATAGGTTTAAATTCTGACAGAACATTTTAAAAAAACAACAATACCAAATTGTAATTACTATATGAAATAAAAGCCCGCTCTTGAGCGAGACAGAGTGATGTATTATTGAAGTGAAGCTGAAATTTTTACGGTCTTAAATCTCAACGAACCCTTTTATTACAGCACCATCTAACGGCCTAAATCTATCAATAAGCAGCTCACCCAGTGGTTCAGTACTTATGAATCTCATGCCTTGGGCGGCTCCTGCATCAGCGAAGCCATCTAAAGCAACTACTGCTGCACTAGCTGCTCCTACTACTGCAGCGGCAGGTACCACCAAAGCTGCAGCAACTACAAAAGCACCAGCTACAACAAAAAAAGGATAATCGTTGATCTGTTTCGCAATAGTATTATCACTTTGTCAAACCTCTTTAGAAAAAAGTTGTTTTGGTTTGTTAATAACTATACGTTTATTAATTATCAATTAATTTTTAAGTAAGATATTGATAATTTATCATAAATTTGCAGGAAGTTAGACTTTAGACAGAAGGTTGCTGCAATTAGA